TTTTTGATCCAAGTTCATTTTGGTAACTCCATTTCGTAAGACATAAATTGGAATCCGAATAAAAGTTTGATTAAACATGCTTCATTTCGTCTGTACGTCTGTAACCTTTTTAATAACATTTATCTTGCTTTATTTTGAATGTTTTCATATTTCCTTAGTTTAGGTTGTTTTATTATTCGGACACAGGAAACGCCATCCCTTGCGGAATGAACGTCGCAACCATGCTCTGCCTCACTTTTACGTGGTTGCTCACCGTCAGGTCGCAGCAGCACCTACCAGCCGTCGACTGTTTGTTCCTCTTGTCCGCTCTTGCCACGAATTACTTCCTCTTGAAATCATGGCTTACAGATCCGGGGATAATTAGGTCCACTTTTCAGCAGAAGTGCAAAGTAAAGCACTATTTTTGACAGTATTGCTTTTTTCAGTTAACTTTATGTTTATACCTTTTTAAAGAAGTGCATGAAATTCACAGGCAAGTTAGTGGTGTGCTGTAATTTTAATTATAATTAAACTTTTTGATTAATGTGCTAAATCTCTGGTTGAATACAACTGAAACCTTAAATTAACACACGAAAAGATATCACAAATATGGTTTGTTTACCGTAGTATGTTAACAGACATGTTTTCTGAGCTGCATTTCACAGCTTTTGCACTCTCTCCTTACGAGTAGTTGCGTAGGGGCAGTTTAATCACGGCAGATTCTAAGGACATTGACCACTAGCAGTACTAGGTGAATCCCGTTTCATTTTTGTTCTGGAACAACGGCTTTCCAAATGACTCCTTAGGCAACTAAGAGCAAGGGCACGACGCGAACTCTGATGAGAGTAAAGAAAATGGCTATCAGAGGGTAACCGGTTACCGACGTTTATTTTTTTCCACACCTGAACTAAGTCCCTGATGAAAATATGTCGAACGGAGCAAAACGTCGATAACAGATCTGTGCTTCGGCGGCTATTTGCTTTATGCTAAAGGATTTCAGCGGTGAGTAGCGTTGGTGCTGCCGGACTATATGGCATACTTCTTCTGTAGTGCTGCTGAACTTTTCATAACACCAAAAATGATGGACGTTTATTACACTGTCTGCTACACATAAGAACGCTCATAACAGTCATTTTCCAACGCCATCCGGTCCTTTTATGCATATTACATCTGGTTAAACTTCCGGTTTCTCGATTGTCAGTCATTAGGAACCAAAAACCATTTTTCTGCCGGAATCACTATGGAGGGATGCATTCATTGCGGAAATGATTTAACGCTAGAACCGAACGTCCTTGGATTCGAACTCAGCAACTTTGATAAGTATAACCAACTACTGTTATTGCTTCGAAAGCGTTTTGACGTCTAACACCTTCTTCACCCGTGCTAAATAGAGTGCAGTTTTTCAGTTATTGCATTATGCAGGTTATTTTTTGCCTTATATGCAGATCTTGCTGTGAATTCAACTGTGATCACCTATTCCCTTAACCTATCAAAGTAAATTACCGAGCGTACTTCAGTGACATAATTTATAAATTTTACTTAAACCGTGTGTTTATATCCATCATCAACATACCGTCAAAATGGCGTTCTGTTAATCATGTTTGCACATACCTGTTTGCTTTCGAAGAAACATGCGTTAAAAATTACTGCAGATAACAGCAGTACTTAATATTATCATGATTTGAAAACTATTCTCTATTATAAACTTTCTGACCAAATATGCAAATATTTGTTCTATTCAGATTATTGAAGAAATAGTCGAGAGTGAAAAGGACGAGTTTAGCGCCATTTGCCCAAAGTGTGTCGTACGACAACCGCCCATGACGAAGCACTGCTACATTTGCAACCAGTGCATAGCAGACTTCGATCATCACTGTCCTTGGATCGGAAATTGCGTTGGTATTGTTTTAATTATTTTTCTTTTTCTTTCTCATTCACATCTCAAACGGATTTTAATTGAACTATTGTTCATTGTGTTTTATGCATCGATTTTCATCATTATTGAAGGGTGATATTTGCGGAACATATTTTTTTCCTCTTTTTATCCGGTTTCTGAACACAAAGTGTTATGGGTTCTAAAATCTAAAATAAACCATCTTCGTTAATTTTGAGTTTGCAATTTTCGAAAAAAAACAAGCAATATATGAAGTTTGCCTGATTGTCGGAGAACATGCTTATTTAATCACCTGCTGCCCACCGCAGTCGACAAGTAATTACGAGATGTTGAAATAACTGGAAGGATGAATTATCTGTTTTAATTGCATGTGATCGTAGACAGGACGATTTGTAATTTTTTATAATGTTCTTGTTTCGTCTTGAAGGATGTAATGGTTGTTATATCCTCAGATATGCTGATATCACTGGTATGGCTTACAAGAGCTATCGGCTGCTGAAACATTATCGATAGCGAGCATGGTACTGTTCTAACTTATGAAATAATGTGATATGCAGTGAGGCACTACATTGGCTAAATTTACATTGAGTGATATATGAATTCTTTATATGGATATCTGTGTATCACTGAGCATATAAATATCGCATCATGCACTGTATCACGGCTTAATAGAATTAGTTTTAATACCTACATGAGGATATAACTCATTGCGCAGGGGCAGTACAGATGCATTTTGCGACGAACCACGTCATATGAAGGAAACTATCTCACTTGATCTGTTGGTCTCAGTTCATTAGTAAATAATCTATGATTAATTATCTTTATAGTTTTTGAGCTTGCTAAAATAGCTTTCAGCATTTATTGACCCTGAAAGTAAATGACGGCATATTCTCGGAATATATGGT